TGACCAAAGGTCGATTTGAACCACAAGATAGGCAGTTCAAACGTACCAGCCACTCCTCAGAAACCCTATACAGGTTTACTATGAGTCGGAACTAATTTGACAGTACTTAAGAACAACCACCTCTCAGGGAGGATATGAAGATAGATGAGTCAATGCATGTTAAACGTTTAGACTAGTGCCTGGAACATGTAAGTAGTATTTAAATTTAAGGTGTTAACTTTTGCATTTGTGAAGGCAAGACGTGAGCATTGCAAGCACTTTGGGGAACACGTAATCCCTTGTGTTTTTTGCCTGTGCCTGTGAAAACCCTTTGCCTTTGTCCAACAATTCCTATTCATTCTAACCCTGCACTGCTGAACAGCACCAGGGGAAACCACCACCTACAGAATTGAGGCCATTACTCATTCCTAACCCCAGACTCTGTCTGGGCTCCTTCACCACCCAGCAGTCCTTCTGCTGTTCCACTTTCTATCGTAGTGTACAATGGCTTTGTCTTGTCCAAGATGCACCTTTCACCTTACCCCGTCTTACCTATTCTTGAATCATGGGTCATCAGTAGCCCCACACCCTTGAATCTTCAGTCTTCCCTACCATGTTGCTTATAATAAAGGTTGCAGTTTTCCCAGGTCTTCATTGTCTCTGCATCTCCCCCAATTGTTGGTTGTTGTCAAGTCAATTTCAACTGATAACAGTGCTATGGGATAGAGTTCAGCTGTCCCATAGAATTTTCTTGGCTGTATTATGATGCGGCCAGACTGCAAAGCTGTTTGAACTGCAAGGTCAGCAGTTCAAGCTTACCAGCCGCTTCTCGGAAACCGTATACAGTGTCGCTATGGGTTGGAACCAACTCGATGGCACTTAGCAACAACAACATTATGGTGTGGCACTGTGCTTGCTACTAACTGCAAGGTCTGTGGCTCCAACCTACCAGCTGTTCCTCGGAAACCTTCTACAGGGTTGCTATGAGTCAGAACTGACTTGACAGAACCGAACAACAACGATCTTTACAGAAGCATATTGCCAGATCTTTCTCCCACAGAGTCAGTGGGTGGGTTCAAATTGCCAACCTTTCCATTAGTAGCAGAATATTTAGCCATCATGCCACCAAGGGCCCACTGTCTCCCCATAGTCTATTGTCTTATCTCTCTCCTTTTCTTCACAGCCAAGCATCTTGCAAGACTTGTTTAGATTCACTTGTCAGTATCCTGGTTTCCTCTCCACCCCACCATTAGCTTGTCAACCTCTTGTGAGCTGGTGTCTGTTGCCCTGCCAGCCCTGACTGAAGCTCTGCCTGTGGCAGCCACTGAGGGACCATCCAGTTAGCACATTGCAGGAACCTTCTGTTCAGCGTTCACCCCTGGGATTCAAGACTCACCTTCTCCGGCTTCTGGGGCACACCTCGCCTGCTCTCTTCTCTTTTGCTCTGAGAGCGCTTTTTAACACCTGTTTATAGATTGAATCCAGCTCCTTACCAAGATCTGTTAAGTTCTAATCTCTGTTAGCCCTGTGAATGTAACCTTGAATTTGTTCTTTTGTTATCAGTTGGGTCAAATAAGGGTATACCAGTGTTGCATGGGTCCTAGTCCTAATTCCTTTCAAGTGGACACGCAGGGGGTGAGGCATGTCATATGATGATGGAGGAAGAGGTATCTTGAAGCAGCAAAGGATTGCTGATAGTCACCAGAACCTAGGAGAGCAGCCCATGGAGGATTTCGACTTTCAGCATTCAGAATTGTGAGAAAGTAAATGTGTTTTTTAAAGTCACCCACTTGGTGGCATTTTATCATGTCAACCTGAGGTAATTAAGACCATATCCTTTGCAGGCTCCTTTTCCACCTGCTCTATAAGTGTTGGAATTTCTGTTGTCAGTCTTTTGATAATCCCCCAATTTCAGTGAATCTTTATCTGTAGGCCAGACCTTTTTTTCTGATCTCTTCACTTATGTTCCCAAGGAAATCTCCACTGGGCTGTTGGAAGGAGCAAGATAGAGAGCAATACACTAGGTAACAAATAATGAGGACTTTAAGCTAACGTGGTAGAGGGGCGATAACAGAGAAGAGAGCACAGATGTGAATGCTCTTTAGGGCCCCCAATCGTCTGTTATATGAGAGAAGGGGTAAGTAAGCGCAGGATGATGTAAAATTCCTGGTTTAAGTCACTGAGTGGAGACTGACACCCTTTAAGAAAAGTTCAAGAGGAGTAGTTTAAACTTACTGAAGTTGTTGAGTGCTATTGATTTGATTCCAACTTAAAGCAAACCTGAATATGGTTTCCAAGGGGTAGCGGGTAGGTTTGAACTGTCGACCTTGAGGTTAGCTGGCCAGTGCTTATCCCACAACACCACACCAGGACTCCACCTTAGTTATTATTACTCTTTGAGTAGTAATGTTTTCTCCTCTGTACAGGCTTCTCTAATCCCCATCCAAGTCAGATGTTCCTCCTCTGTTGTCATGTACCTCAGATAGCTCCACCATGAAAAACAAGCAAAGCGGTCCCTGTGAAGTATAGTCGTGGTAACCTCACATGTGTCAGAGCAGAACAATATTTCATAAAGCTTTCAGTGACTGCTTTTTTTTGGGGTGGGGGGCGGGCACTAGACTGCTCTGTTTCTGAGGGAGTCAAAAACAAACACATCATAAGTGGAGTTTCATTTGCACGAGTGGAATCCCCAAATTTAGACTGAAGTGAAGTAAGTGAGGCAGAAAGAATCTTGGGTGTCTGGCACAAGCATGCCCAGGCCTCCTCTGTCTGGGGCTACTTAGCTCTCCTTGTTAACGTGTCCAGGATGATGGCATGACAGCCACTTCCCTGCTTTGCTACCCTGACACAATAGTTTCCTTGGTTCCGTATTTATTGCACACCTTCTTTGTGCGAGATCCTTGGGAGAGAGATAACTGCGAGACAGCCCTGACCTCAAGTCTAGCAGGGAAAACAGATAGAAGGCAGGTCTGCTACCATAAGGCACGGGTCCTCCTTATAGTTGATGGGCATCTCTCCTGCCTAAATGCAAGCCTGTTTCACCAGGTTCATTTCTGAACCAGGTTCATTTCTTCACAGACATGGAGAACCAGCTTCTCAACTCCTCCAGACTTATCCACCTACTGAAAAAGAGCCAATGAGTTATCCAGATCTTCTTTCTTTCACTCTAAACCTCCCCCAGAGTCAGAGAGGTTGCTTCTGGGCACAAGAAGGTTGTAGAGAACAGGCTGCAGAGGTGGGATAGGAGGGAGGCAGCTGAGGAGTGGGTTCCAGAAGGCAGGCCACTCTCTGGGTCCCCTGGCCCTGCTTTACAAAGGGACAGAGAGCTGCCAGGTCCTCTTGTCCGTTGAGCCCCATTCCAACTCTAAACAGGTTTATCTTCCCAGCTTCTGGAGCAGCCAGGAGGAAAACCTGCTTGCTTTCTAATTACCAGGCATGTTTTCCCAGAAAACTCATGCGGGTTTGCATAGGAAGACTACTTAAAATGATTTGTTCAACAAGGCAGGCTCTTTAAAAGACTGAGGCTGGTTTTCTAGGTAGGTTTGAGAGTTAAAGAATTAGCTCTCCGTATTGCCTGCTTAGACTAACCTGGTCAGTGTTACGCTTTGGTGCTAAGTCTATGAAAGCTTTCAAGAAATTTGATTGAGAGTGGTAGTAATGAACCTAATCCCAAATGCAGAGAAAGAAAACAGTTTTTGTGACAATGCCAAGGAATCATCAGCTGTTTATATAGAGTCCGAAAAATAGAACGAGGCAGGGAATGAAGAGAAGTAAGAAATAGGTCTTTGATACATTGGTTTTAAGCAATATGACCTGTGTCATAGGATAAGCACGCGACCTCAAGGTCGGTGGTTCAAATTCACCAGCCACTCCTCAGAAATCCTGTACAATCTCTCTATGAGTCGGAACTGACATGATGGCCCTTAACAGCAACAGCAGCAGTAATCAAAGATGTGGTCAGTATGGTCAGTTGTTGTTGTTAAGTGCCATCGAGTCAGTTCCTACCCATAGCGACCCTGTCTATGGCAATCCTGTCTGGGGTTTCCGAGGAGCAGCTGGTGAGCTTGAACCGCTGACCTTGCAGTTCAAATGGCTTTGCAGTCTGGTGTACCACAGCACTACACCAGGACTCCAGTATGGTCAGTGGAAAGGAGGAAAAGTGGGAAGTAGAAGGACACATTGGCTGAGGAAGGTGTGGAGATTCATCCACCCTGTCTCTCTCTCCCTACCACTGTCTTCTTTCTGTAGGACTCTTCCTTGGTCTGCTCTTGGCAGGAGGATCAGAGTCAGGCTTAGAGGGTGAGAGAATGATACTGAGTTACGATGAGGACCTCAACTCTCCCTGCCCTTATTCCTCATCCATGTAAATCCACCCGTCCGTCTAACTCAGTTCTCTCATTGTATAGCTGAGGAAACCAGGACCTAGGGAACTAGGTGATTGTCCCCTTAGTCTACAGTTCATCAGGGGCCTGAATGGGGAACCCACCACACACACCTCTGCATTTTTCTTTGGCTGGATTCCATTCCTGAGTTAGGGATATGGTAGAGGTGATTGTCACCCCCTTTTTACCAAGCCCTCACACTCTATCAAGTAAACATCATGCCAGCCTAGCAAAACAGTCCGGCCCAGGCTGAGGAAATATTCCCTTTGTTTCAGGACTTTCAGAAGATTTTAAAAAGGAACCATCTTATTGGGTTGGGGATGTAATATACTTAAGTGAAAAGATATGTGAAAGTGTTACAGAGCCAGTAGACTTGATATGGTACTGCAAACAGTTAAGCACTCAACTATTAGCCTAAAAGTTGGCAGTTTGAACCCAACCAGAGGTGCTTCAGCATTCGGCTTCTGAAACATGGTGCATTGAAAACCCCGTGGAGCAGTTCTACACATGGGGTCACTGGGAGTTGAGATTGACTCAATGGTAACTAATAGTAGCAACTGAAAATAAAATATCAGGCAAAGGAAGACATTGTTCTTGGCGTCACACTTCCCTTACCTGACACCTCTGTTGTCCCTGCAGGCCGCCAACTCCCTGGAGCCGAGAGGGCCTCCACAGCCACTGCGGAGGAGACTGACATCGATGCGGTAGAGGTCCCACTTCCAGGGAACGATATCCTGGAGTTCAGTCGAGGAGTAACCGACCTGGATGCAGTTGGAAATGAAGGAGGCTCCCACACAGACTCCAAGGTAGTCAGAGGGGCCCATTCACAGGCTCTGTATATGTGTGTCCGTGTGGTCACAGCCTCTCAGACTCCACCATCATCTCGTAGGCCCTCTCGGGTCACCGTCCTCTACAGCACAGCGGCAGTGCATGAGCACATGCCCCTTCCTTTCTCAGAGATTCAGCCCTGAGTGCTGACTCTAGGCATTGCTGCATGCCAGGGTGCTGCTGGGCTAGGTCCTGACACACTTTGTCCTCCAAGATCCCACCATTACGTCTGATCTTCCTTCTCCCTCTGACCTCAACTCTGCACACTCTTTGATCCTTACATACCCACAAACATAATCCCCTACAGCTTAGCTAATGGGGCAAAGTAAGCTTTGGCTCCCTCTTCCTATAACTAGAGAGTATGTATCTTTAACATTCCTGTATGACACACCTGTATATATGGAGTGTAGACATTGGTTCATTGGCTGTTAGAAACTGCGAGGCAACCTTATATATCATCACCTCCAGCCCTCACATCTGACAGTGCTATGTATGACTAGGGCCCCAGGAGTTCCTGAATATGATCCAGATCAAAAACTAAAAACTTGAGACCAAATTCCAACCTGTAGACAAAAGAAAACTAGAAGGAAAATGACTAAAGAGTGAATGGCCCTGCAGATGCCCATCTTCCTTCATCACTGATAAGATGGCAGAGAAGTCTGTCTAGTTTGGAGATCAATACAGTTTGGAATGGTCTTCCTTTGACACTCAGTTTGTTTCTTTCCTTTTTTTTTAAGTGTTTTACATGGGAGAACATTAGTTTTACATTCATTCTATCGTATATCATCTCATTGCCATGGTTACAATCCCCTCCATGCATCATTAACCAACCAATGGGTATACCCTGCAAGCCTGCCCCCCACATCCCTCCCTCCGGTCTTCAGCACACAGCCCCTCTCCCTCTCTGGATCTCAAGTCCCCAGCTGCTCCATCACTCCACGTCATCGTCTCTGCCTCCATCTCAGGCATCACTGCTTCTCTGGGTAGGGTCCTGCTCTCCGCTCTTCTCCATTGATGGTCCCAAGGACCTCCGCTCCTAGACTGGAAAGTTAACCCCCCCCTCCTTGCTATAAAATGTCTACCTTTACATTTCCAACCCACACAATCAGTCAGTTTGTTTCTTACCAAGTGGCAATAGACCTCTGTCATTGGGTGCCTTCCTCTTGCATTGTCTGAAGAAAGACCAGCAATAGAACTACGAGAACCAAAACGTCCCTCCCTGCAGTCACATAATGAGGTATGGAAGCAGTCTCATTAGAAATGTCCAAATGTAGAAGAGATTCAGGAGAGGGAGATAGGAGGGGAGGGGATAGAAACACCTTCAACTGAAGAGGAAGCCTGTCTTTCCTGAACATTATCTATTTTAATGTCCAGACTTTCCTGTCTGTTAGGATTCACTGTGAGAGAAGGCAGAGAAGCCTCATCTTACAGGGATTCTTCCTGGGATGCCAAAACATGAGAAACATCCAGACCCAAAGTTGCCTTCTTCCTCTTCTCAGTATGGGCTGGTAGATATCTGTTTCTGTAGAGATGGATCTCTCCAAGTCTAGAACCTCAAGGAACTCAACAATAATAGTATCATTGGAAGTAAATATGCATGAAAGGGGTTAGTATTAGCTGTCAGTCTCCTATCACATTAGACCAATTACTGAAGTGTCCAAAATGATTTTCTAACTACATAGTCCCAACTGAGACAATTACACCATCTTCCTGTTTCCCATCCACGTTTCCATCAAAGACATGAGCATTTCCAACTGTGAGTTACATTCATGCCCATGTGCAGAGAGAATGAGCTCCCTGAAGATGGTGCCTGCCCCATGCTATTGTTTGCTGTCTCTTCTCTTCTAGGTTTCACCCCATCTGCAGGAGCCCATGCTGACAGCCTCACCCAGAATGCTACTTCCCTCCTCTTCCTCAAAGCCTCCAGGCTTGGACTCAGGGACACCACTGTCCACTCACCACCAGATGCAGCTCCTCCAGCAGCTCCTCCAACAACAACAGCAGCAGACGCAAGTGGCTGTGGCCCAGGTTCTCCTCAGCCTCCTCCCTACTTCGCAGGCTCCACTCTCATGGGCTTGATGCACCTTCCCTAGCCAGGGGCTCAGGGCAGGTTTAAAACCTAGGGAGTCATAAGAAACTGCTCATGCTATCCAATCATTGCTTGTTGGGGACATGGGGAGGCGGGAGGAAGAGAGATGGGGGATGCAGTTGAAATGGAAAGAAAGATTTTTGGTTTTCCATGTATCCCCCGCTCTGAATTGAGCTTGGCTGGCTTGGCTGGATGTTGTTGGGTAACGACTCGATTTTACCAAGGAAAATGATGCACATGATTTCACCTTTCCTCCCTTGCCTTATTTCCCTGATGTTTGGAGTGGGGAGGGATGCCTTCGGATCAGAACAGGTGTGACTTGTGATGCCACCCTTGAAAGTGCTTTAAGTATGAATTTGTACCAACCTTCCTTGCAAAGACTGCCATCCCAACCCACTGGTCCATAACAGGCGTCCAAGCCTTCACTTATTGCAGATAGTATACCCACTTATTAAAGACAGTATTTGGCACAATACTGTCTTAGAATTCACTATTATGGCATTTAACGAACAGGAACTTAGGTATATGGTTTCAACCCTGAAGAGAAGAATTGGCTTAGATGTCAGGAACAAAGTCTTGTTTGAGTTTCAAAGACTTACTGTGTTACTGCTACTTAGTGGAGGGAGAGGAACTAATTTCTCAAGCTTTGAGCACCAGTTCCTTCTATTTGTTTTTTGCAAAAGGCCTGGTAGTCATCATCTTCCTTGGAACCTAGGAATCTGAGCTTCTTCTTCACCATAGGCAGTCAGGAAACAGTGAAGACAGGCTACTCATACCATTGCAATCAAGGCTGAACCCTAAGGTGCATGCCAGACAGGGCAGGACCTGAATGGGCAGATGAAGACAAGGAAGAAGTGGGGAAGTTGGGGTTTGAGAGGGTGGAAGAGGGATCCAGAAGGGGCAGCTTTATGCACTGACATTCTGAGTCAGCTTGCAAGTTCTAGAATGGCAGGGAGAATACTTCTCCGGGAAGCATTTATTGATACCTATTGTACTTTCTCTCACTCTCCTCCTGGTTCTTGGGTGGAGTGACCCACCAGGCAGAATGTCCTTTTCCAAGCATGCATCTTGAGAAAGCATCCAGCAGCCTTGCCTGATCTGCTATGAAATTAGACCTTGGAATACAGTCTCACATTGACCTGGGCCTGAGGCACAAGCAGGTGTCCTGGATGACTTCTGTCATCAGACTTCTTGAGAATAGTCAATGGGACATTACTCCCAAGTTATTCGAGCCTTTCATAAAACCCTGACCATGAAACAAAAAGCTCTGTGCTGTTGCTAGGAGGATCAGCAGGTGTTCCCAAAACCAACAAAGAAGAGGGAATGTCATTAGTGGATTCTTATATTTGGGGGTGGGGTGAAGAGGAAACAATCCTCTTTGTCAAATCAAAGACTTCATCAGTTATAATTAATGACTGTGTGGCAGTCCCGAGAGTCCCCGCCCCCTGAGAAGAGCGAGCTGACAGAAGCACAAAGCCTGAGTACCTCGGCTTAGGGGGGGTGGGGGAGTTCCATCAGCAAGTCACACATCATTTCCAAAAGTTTCCTGTAGAATACAGATCCATTCTTTGATCATTTTAGTTTTCTCTTTTAACATATCAATTGCCAAGTAATTATTATTTATTTAAGAATGGGCTTGATGCATATTCATGATGAATATTATCAGAGGGGCATTTGAATTCGAAGTCACTGCTAAATACTAAAAAGAAACTATTTGCAAATGTGTAGTTCATTCATTTGGAATCCTTTATCGTCCAGTGATGCCCTAGTTGATGCTCAGTTCCAGCAGATTGATGATGGAAAGGTTTCTCCAGTATATCTAAATCCCACTTTGGTAAGACAACTTTGGATAAGGTCATAGACTCTTCCAGAATCTTTAGGTTAGACACAACCTTGGAGGTCATCTGATAGCTTCTTGAATGTGCTCCTTTCCTAGTCTTTAACATCCCGTCAGACAATCTCTGATCATCTGTCTTCTGTTAGCATCTTGCTTTTCTGGCTGGCCAGGAAGGCAACATAAGTGGTGGTTTCCCTCTCAGCTGCCTGTTGGCTCCCATCCTGCACACAGATTCAGTCCTAACCCAGCCTTCAGTTACAGATCTTGCCACATACTCCTCTTTCTCTACTCTCTTTGTAGCACTTGATTCAAAGACTTTTTGTTAGTATCCATATCCTCGAATAGGAGAAAGATAAGGCTTTCTGCTCCCACAAAGATTTACAGCCTTGGAAACCCTACACAGGGTCGCTATGAGTCAGACCAACTCAACAGCACTTAACAACACCATATCCTTGGGTAAAACTAATGATGTAAGAGATATAGATGGATTACTAGATAGGTCTCCTTAGCATTTTTCATGTATTTAAAATACATCAAATACAGCACACTGGACTTTTTCTGTATGAACCAGAATGATTCCCATGCTCAGCATCAGGTAGGCTTTACTTGTTCCATCAGACTCTAGGAACACCAAACTACAGGGTTACTGTCTTGCTCCTCTCTCTCTTGGCAAACCAACAGTCCCCAGCATTCTGATGGGGAGAACTCTGACCTCAGGTGGAAACATGTAGCTCTTAAATGATCTAGAGTTTTCGTGCAGACAGATGCATTTTTGGGGTCACTTGTTGCATTATAATACCCACCCCACCCCCCACTAGTTCTCCAGGTCTATCTGGTTCTGCCATTGTAATTGGAACCAAGCGTAGGTACCCTTCATGATGTTCTGATTGTTCTGAGGCCTTATGGCCTTTCCCAGCCTCACCCTAAATTGGCTCAGACCTGGCCAAGAAGGAACCTGCCCTGACCATAAAGGCACCTGGGCAAAGGTGGTGCCCAACCAACTCCTCAGTATTTCTAGGCTAGACCTCACTTGTAAATAGCAGATCCTTTTTTCCTAAGGTCCCCCGACCACTCTGCCACCCCAGCATGAGGCTTGCCTGGCTGCACTAGCTTCCTGCTTTGAGATGGAACAGAAGTTCAAGGATGTGAATGAGAATACAGCCTAGCCTTGAACCAAAACGGGGAGCAGCTGGCATCCGCATGGCCACGGGCTGGGCTCACCTAGCTCCTGAATTGATCTGGGCACTGCGGCTGACTGGCAACTCCTGTTAAGTAGGCCAGATTCGTTTGCAACCTGCCAGTTCCTGGCCTAGCTCATGAGGAAAATGTTAGTGCAGCCCAGTATTGCTATTTAAAGATTTCTCCTCTACCTGCTACCATTTCCGCTTGTTGAGGGACAAGTAATTGGTTATTTATGCTTCGCAATTGTGTGTGCTGTGGTTAGTTAGAGGAGCAATGCTAAATAAAAAACTCCGCACCAAGCTCCCCTCCACCCACCCCCAGGCCCTACATTTAGCATCTATCCTTGTGGCTTTGCCTAGTCCCCAGCGCCCTGGCGTGCACTGGCTGTGTCCCTGCCTTATGCATGTTGGGACAGCGCCGCCTGTCTCTGCTTGTGTGTCTGGTGTGTGGGGGGCAAATTGCTCTGGTTCTCTCCACTGCCATTTCCATGTGCCTGCTGCTCCCTAACTTCAGCCTGGCCCTGCCCCCACTTCTGATGGAGGAGCTGGAGTCCAGGCAAGTGGGCTGGAGAGTGAGTGGGGCAATGGTCTGGTTTTGCTGGGTGGGGTGGGAAGGTGGGTGTTAGTTAGAGTTTGGGGAAGGAGCCTACGGGGTGCAGGGTTGAACTTATGCATATAGAACTATGGTTAGAACACAGAAGTGGGCATCTGAGCCCTGCCACTCTAGGCTGTAGGTCTCCAACTAGAAAAGTCATTGCCAAAGACAACATAGACTCTGGAAAAGAGATGCTAACAGTGACCTTTCCACAAGCCCTGGTGGTGCAGCAGTTCGAGGCTGACAGTTTGAATCCACCCAGCAACTCTGCAAAAGAAAAGACCTGGGGCTCTGCTCCTGTAAAGCTTACAGCCTAGAAAACCCTCTAGGGCAGTTCTACTCTGTCACATGGGGTAAACTATGAGTCAGAAATGGACTTGATGGCACCTAACAGCAACACAACCTTTGTACAAGGTTCCCTGGATAGACAAATATTATTAACCCAAAGGTTGCAGTTTTGAACCTACCCAGCATCACTACAGTAGAAAGGTCTAGTGATCTGCTTCCATGCAGATTACAGACCAGAAAACCCTATGGAGCAAGTCTACTCTATAGCACAGAGGATCATCATGAACAAAATTGACTCCACAGCAAAGACTTTGGGTTTGGGGTTCTGGAGTTTTGAGGTCTGTTTGCTTCATTTTGCAAAAGGTGTTTTAAATCTTTGAAAGAACAAATGTGCTCTCCCATCTGTCAAATGACTCTCCCATCTGTCAGAGAGGAAATGTGATTTCTGCCCCTGTTGTATGACTATGGCAACAAGCACAGAGCCCTGAAGCCCGCTGCCCAAACCTAGGCTGCAAATAACATGGCCTCATACTGTGCTTCAAGTCCAGACCTACCTATGCAAAACACCAAGATTGTTGTTAAATTGCCTCAGATGTTAAAGAAGTCCAGACTGATCTGTCTCGACTTGGCCTGGTTTGGCCTCTCCTGAGGTGCATCCAGACTGGCACAGCATGCTGTGTGAGCCTGATTCCTGATACCACTTTTGACAGCTGCGGAGGCAGAAGAGCTAATTAGTGTTGGTCTGGGGCAGTGGCAACAGCGTGGGTTTTCACATTCACAGGGTTTGCAGAGACAGCGAAACCTGTGAGAGCCAGCAGTCAGTGGTACTGCCTGGCTTTTCTGGGTCTCACAAGTTTTCTCTGCCTTTGGCATGGTGCATTCTTACCACTTTGCAACTGCTCTTTCTCTAGTGGAAAACATTTGAATTTTCCTTTACTGACTGATTTCTGTTCCATGGGGTTTCTGGCTTTTGCAGACTTTACCTGAAACGTCACAGCTGTGCATTTACAAAGCTGGAATTCTTTTTTAACCTCTGGAGTGTTTCCTCCTCATGACCCTTTACTGCCAGTTAACTTGTGATGGAGGAGCTCTAGTAGCATAGTGGTTACAAATCGGGCTGCGAAAAACAAGGTCAGCAGTTCAAAACTACCAGTTCTTCCATGGGAGAAAGATGAGGCTTTCTGCTCCCATAAAGATTTATAGCCTCAGAAACGCTGTACAGGGTCGCTATGAATTGGAACCGACTCCATGGCACATAACAACAACAACAGCATAATTCTCTAGGAATGGCATTCAAGAGCACTAACAAATGGCTCCTAGTACTGACCACTTTGTCCTCCTGGATGTGGAATCAGACTGTCCAAGCCTCTAGTCAGCCCTCTCAATTGACAGATAAAGAAACTGAGGTCCAGAGAGAAGAGGACCGCCTACAATTACACAAGGAATAATCATAGACTGATGTCCCCACTTCTGATTTAGTGTTCTCCAATGGCCTGACCCAAGCCATGGTATTTTCAATAATCTCATATGGATGCGAAAGCTGGACAGTGAATAAGGAAGATTGTAGAAGAATTGATGCCTTTGAGTTGTGGTGTTGGAGGAGAATACTGAAAGTGCC